TATGTCAGAGTTATTAGCATGCTAGCTAGCATCTGAGAGTTGCTAGTTAGCTAAAGTTTTCCCATGTTTCTTGGTTTCTTTGGGAATGGGGCTCTAGTTTACCATTAGTGACTAAAAGTTTCTTTTGTGAATCTCTAATTACTTCTAGTACTTTCACACTTTAAATGAATGTAAGAGTTTGTACTTTCCTGCTTGAATTTGAGTGAAGAATTTGAAGCTGTACTTTAACTTTTGCAAGAGTATTAAATCTTAAACAAAGAATTTCAGGACTCCTACCACCCCTGTATAACATACAGTTATACATCACATTCAGAACAGCTATAATGGGCACAGGCTCACTAAAACTGGGCAAGTTGAAGGTTGGAAAAAGACCAGGTGATGTTTTCCCAGTCTTCAACTGTCCAGTTTTGGTGAACCTGTGCCCACTGTAGCCTCAGATTCCTGTTTCTGGCTGACAAGAGTGAAACCTGCTGTGGTCTTCTTCTGTTGTAGCCCATCAGCCTCAAAGTTCAATGTGTTGTATGTTCTGAGAAGCTTTTCTGATCACTACAGTTGTCTCCTCTGACCTCTTTCATCATCAAGGTGTGTCCACCTGCAGAACTGCCGCTCAGTTGATGGTTTTGCTTTAAGCACAATTTGGTATAAACTCTAGAGATTGCTGTGCATGCAAATGCCAGATCAGCAGTTTCTGAAAAACTCAAAAAACCACCCCATCTGGCACCAACAATCATGCTATGGTCAAAGCCACTGAAATCACTATTTTTCCCCATTCCGATGTATGTTCTGAACATATCTGAAGTTCTTGACCTGTATCTGCATGATTTTATGCATCGTGCTGCTGCCACATGATTGGCCGATTGAATATGTGCATGAATGTATATGACAATATATAGGACCTTAATGTTTAGGAAGACCACATGGTTTTAATTCTGCCACATTAAAATGTATTATGGAATGTTAATTTGTGAATATTAAAATATACTTGACATCGGTAGCAAATTTGGAGTTTGGAAGGGACATATTTAGAGTTTTTTGAATTTGGACTGGTTTTATTGACCACTGGTTTGGTTCTGGGATAGTTCTAAATGGCCACTGGGATGGTTTTATAAACCAGACCTGGCAACCCTGGTTGTCAGAGCTACTGTCTGTTTTCTCTTGACTGATTGAGGGAAAGTCAGAACTCAATATCAGCTTTATTCATTATGACCAATAGCAAGAGTCAACCTGTTACTATGTGCTCCTCAGGCTGTGTGAAACTCCCAGCAAGCAGAGAATGTGACAGGTGATATTCACCACTGTGTTTTCTCAAACGCACGGGCCTGTCGAGAAACGCTGATGAATGCAGACAATTGAACCTTCCCGAGAATGTAATTGCACTTGCACGTACAAGGCAACATTGTTTCAAATTACCTGCTGTCACAAAGCCATTCATGACTATCGTGTGAAATCTCGACTGGCCAGAAATAAAATGAGGCCATGTGCTTTGGGGTAAGAGACAAGATGTTGGCACACTGCAGTCTTCCCTGTTTTTCACTGGGCTGTTGAAGTGTTCAGAGCTCCAACAGTCTATTTTAAACAAGGGCAGACATAGACACGGACAGAGGCCTTTTTTGTTACAGGGCCATTCTGAGCACAAAAACTATTTTGATGCTTACTTAAATGCCTAATATGTCCAAAAATCCATATTGATCACTAGACCCAAATGAGACCTAGAATGATTTTCTATAAACATAAGCTTACTGCTGAGATAAATATGTGAAGTCACTGAGGTAAATATAGACCAGGTTTAATCTCTTAGATCAAGAGACTATAAAACACCTGGCAGCATCTTGTTATTTACCAAATTATGGATAAGTGGAAAGGTATTTCACTGCTGGCTGTTTCTATTCTGTGGGAAAATGTCAATTTTTTTTTTAATTTAATTTCTGCAGATTTATTTTGTTGTTCCTATTTTATCAAAAGCATACGTGCAAAGCAAACAAATTATTATTCCCCATGGTGGTGTTTGCTGGATCTATTTGCAAAAGTTTGAATATTGGGTGTTCCTCCATTCTTTTTCATACAGCCAAGATACACACACACACACACACACACCATCACTCTCAATAAGAGAGGGAAAGAGTCCATTTGATAAACACTCAAACATTCATGCACAAACTTGCTTCTTATGTATGCTAGAGATTTTTGTTTTCTGTCATCTGCAGTGACAACTGCAGTGAGTGATTCAATTTTTACTGAAGTGTCATATTGTCTTCATGTTGAGAATGGTTCTGTGAATGCTAGGCAAAAATAACATTCCCACAACATTCTAAGAACACGATGGTTTTCTTCACAATGTTCTTAAAATGTCACCGCACAATGTTTTTGGTCATTCGACATTACAAGCTAGCATTCCTACAACTTGAAATGTTGCAGCAACAAAGACTACGTTCACGTGCACATCAAATTCCAGTTAACGTCTATATTCGGGTTGCAGCCATATTCAGAATATGATGTTTATATGCATACAGGCATCAGAATATTCCTGTATACATGGTTGTTGTAAGTATGCCGATCTACACATGCGCTTTTCCTTTTCCGCTGTTATTTCCCGGAAGATTCAAGATGCTGCCATTGGTTATAGAGTATACTCAGTTATTAGATTTATTACTAATTTTTCACACTAATTTAATTAGGGCTCTAAAGCTTCTCACCATCAAAAATGCCTGACAACTCCACCTTGAAATGGAAAGGGATGGGTAAGCATCTGTTAAGATAAGCTACTGTTAGCATCCACAATTCCTCGCAGACTGAGCATGTGCATATATCTCCTTTCAGTGGATATTCTGAATAAGGTGTTTACATGCAACAAATTTCCGATTAAAACAGGCATATTCCAGGGGTGGGAATCAGAATTTGGGGAATCAGAATATTCTTAATCTGAATCGGGCAATCGGATTGTCAGCGTTTACATGATTCAATGCAAATTAGAATATTGCCAAATTCCGATTAATATCGGAATATCGATGTGCATGGAAACGTAGTCATTGTAGGAATGTTTATAACTGTTACATAAAAATTACTCATAACACATTACTAGAACCACTTAGTAGAAAGTTACTAGAACCGTAACATTCAGCAAATACTCTTCTAACCTAAAGTTGGTGCTGTTGCTGCACAACATGCTGTTAATTTTTAGTTGAATCAAGCATCCCACATCCTGACAACCCATTCTGTAGTAGGCCAGAATTATAGCCTAAGAACTGCACAAAATAAGCATTGCCTATATATCATTTGGCTCCAGAGGAACTGAGTATTAAATCTGATGGGTTACTTCAAAAAGCCTGGCTTAGTACAAGCATGAAAGATATCTCATGCTGGATTACTATATCCTTCTAAGGGTATCACATGGGCCTTTAATGGTACAGGTTGGTGGGTAGCTTGGGCACCTTGTCCAAATTGTAAATCCATTATGAGAAGGCGTAGAGCTTCTTTCACTTCCCAGCATATATTAGGCCTATGTTTAAGTGTTTAAACAGACCGCCACCCTGTCTTTTGCCAAGATGAACGTTGCCTATGATGTACACTGACAGTGGTTTAGTTTTCAAGTGAGGTTTCATGAAGGATCACCAAAAAAGGCATTCTGCAAGCCAGTCTGGCTGCTTCCAACATTTCTTAAAACGTTGCATGTATTGGTATTTGAACTTTTTTTTTTCTTAGTGCCAGCTTGACAGATTGTTCCTTTAATTGTTCAGAAAAAATCCTGGCGTGCTTTATTTTGGCAATAAGAGCCACTATTTTAAAGTCAGTGAGCAGACTTGGACTGCTTTGCACAGTTCTGTAAATAGTGATGTGTAATTCACAAGTGACTCTGTTCTTTTTAAACAACTTTTTAAGAAGTGTGTCAGATGAATCCTTTTACAAGCTTTACCTAATTAAAATGTTGACAGATTTACTTCATTTGTATTTTAATTATGTCTTTTTGAGATATGTTGGATTCAACCAGTTGACATGTCTGTCAATGGCAATTCACTCATACTGTACAAAATATTAAATACTTAATTGTGAACTGTAGATGCGGGTCTTCTGAGTCATATAAAATAGTTTGCTAATCACAATCTGCTATATGGACAAAGCATCAGTATGAAACCCTGATTTTTTTACTTTAAAATCCTTCAATCCTTTGGAACTTTGAGTCATTTGAGTTTTGCTGTCTCCATTAACTCTATGTTGGATTTCTCATTAATATAATATTGAATGTTGTTGGAAAATGGTGAATGAGAAAAGAAGTGTTTGTTCTTTTGTTTTTAGGAGCTAACAGTGAAATGTAATTGTTATCCCTTATGTATGAAATCTTTGACTTTTTTTTTTCCTATTACACGCCATTGTAACTATGCAAGCAATTTCCTCCATGATGTCAGCGCAGCAGACAACCTCTAAATTCCCCCAGGAATAACAAAAATACAGCCCAACAAATTAGCACCAGGGTCTAAACACATCACAAATAAACAATATGGTCAAAAGTGGACCCCTGACAATCACACCCATATGGTTATTCCCCAAACAGCTGCTACAAAGTTGGAAGCACTTACATTGTTGTACCGCTGTAGCATTACAATTTCCCTTCACTGGAGCTAAGGGGCCCAAGCCTGTTCCAGCATGACAATGCCCTTGTGCACAAACCGAGCTCCATGAAGACATGGTATGTTAAGGTTGGAGTGGAAGAACTCGAGTGTCCTGCACAGAGCCCTGACCTCAACCCCACTGAACACCTTTCGGATGAACTGCAACTGCACCCCAGGCCTCCTCACCCAACATCAGTGCCTGACCTCACTAATGCTCTTGTGGATGAATGAACACAAATCCCCACAGCCACGCTCCAAAATCTAGTGGAAAGCCTTCCCAGAAGGGTGGAGCTTATTATAACAGCAAAAGGGGAAAAAAATCTGGACTGGGATGTATGGGTGTGATGGTCAGATGTCCACATACTTTTGGCCATATAGTGTATGTAATGTAATGGGTCCCTGGAGGACTAGTGGTTAGGCCTTGGCGCTCTCATCGCTGCTGCCTGGGTTCGATTCCCAGCCAGGGAATCAACCCCAACCCCAGCCACAAGACAGTGCACTCCCAGTGCCTGTCCCAAGCCCGGATAAAATTGGGGAGGGTTGCATCAGGAAGGGCATCTGGCGTAAAAACTGTGCCAAAGCAAATATGCGGACCAATGATCCGCTGGGGCAACCCCTAACGGGAGCAGCCGAAAGAAGAATAACAAAGAAGAACAGTGTATCTAATCTAACGTTTCATGGTGGAGTTTTCCTTTAATACTTGATACAGAAGATTTCTACTAGTTATAGTTATGACAGATGCATGTCTTTTCCAAAATTATGCCTAAAGTGTTTTTGTCTGCCTTGCAAACTTTACTGCGTCCTCAGCGCAGCGTTTTTGGTTTTATCAACATGTTTTTGGGTTACAGAAACTACTGAAAATACTCAGCATGAAACTAAGCATACTGTTGACTCAAGAGAAGAGCCTCTGTGTTCCAGAAGATAATTCTCACAAACTGCAGTGTAGAATGCAGTACGTGCAGTATGTAGTACAGCTGACTGAGTATTTCGATCCGAAGTCGTGTTTACGAGTTCGTTGGTGGGCGTGGCTCGTTTCAGACATGTTGTAAGCGCTGTATGAGGCTGTAGCTGGGACATGTTTAAAGGGAGGAGCTTAATGAGAAAGCGCATCTCTTACAGAAGACCGTCGGTTTCTGAGGACTGAGGCGCCTGAGCGCAAACCTCGTAAACTCTGCGTTTTCTAGCCTAAAGCTCAGCCAGGTTTGAACCCAGTGGCAGGTAAGTTGTGGAGCATGGAGTAAGTTGTGACTTATTTAACCGAGCTGACCGTTTTGGCACACGGGGTAAAAGTTCCTCGTGAAGTTTTGCTGTGCGTATCCGTCACGTCGCGCGTTGTAGGCGTGCGTAACGCGGCGCTTTGAGCTTTGCGCTTTGCTGCTCTGCATGGGATGCTGGAATGTTTCTGTTTATTTGGTGATATTGTTTTCGTTATCTATGTTGAAGCTTATTGAAGTACTCAGATGCAGTACTCAATGCTTTGTTTACAGAAAGACCTGCTCATCATGTTTGTTGTCCTGGCAGAAGTGTACAGATTAGATATAGAAGGCAAGCCTGGGATGAAGAGTATGGAATGAGTTTGGAATGAGATCTGAATTTAAAATGTACTAATCTGAATTTTTATGCTTTTATGCTTTTATGAATTGGAAAAGTTTTGAATCAAATTGATATGGTGTTTCATTTCTAAAATATAATTTTTGTTGCCACATTTTAAATTCAGTTCCTAAAATTCAGATTCAGGGCAGTACAGTGGTGCAGCGGTTCAATTCTGAGCTCTGATTACTGTCTGTGTGGTGTTTCGGATGTTCACTCTGTGTCAGTGTGGGCTTTCTCTGGGTTCTCCAGTTTCCTCCAACCTCCCAAAAACATGCTGGAAGGTGGACAGACTACACTAAATTGTCCCTAGGTGTGTGGTGTCCAATGACGGACTGGCATCATATCTAGGATGTGTTCCCGCGTCAAGCCTAGTGCTCCCGGGATAGGCTCTGGATCCACGGCGACCCTGAGCAGGGTAAAGCGTTTACTGAAAGTAAATAAGTGAAATTCAGATGCAGATTTTTAAAACGCTAAATTATTGGCTCATTGCCTGAAATGCCGGCGATCGAATCTGTGATCATTTGCTTTGGTTAAATCCCCAGATGTAGTGTTTTGAAAATTTGAATCTGAATTTGAAGAACTGAATTTGTGCTACCAAAAACCTAATTTTCTATTTATATTATCATAAAATTGAATTTCAAATTCTAATATTTAATTTGATCTAATTCAACTTCCAAACATCGCTTACAACTTCAAATAAATGCATAAAAAGTCAGATTTGTACATTTTAACCTCAGATTTTAATGGCACATTTCTCATTCAATAGTAAGATTATCCTTAATCATTTTTTATGAACCCATTTACATACCTAGCAAAATTCCCAGTGCAGAATTAACCATTATATTTGTGCTGAATAAATAATTTACATGGGTTTTACATGAACGTCTGTAGTGTCGAATCTCTCCTGCAGTACTGAGTGATTGTGTTTATTTGCTTCCAGCAGGACTCACTGTAGGTATTCATTTAGAACTCAGAATTAAGCTGTGCAACATGTTATCCGAACGCACAGCCTCTTGTTCAGCAAACTTTTCTTGCTGTGGTCAACTGTGTAGTCGTGGTAAGTTTATTTATTTAATCTGTGCAAGGGGTCCCTAATTTCGGCTAGGCGTGAAGGGCTGGAGTCCAGCCCAGGTAGGAGGTGTAATTTCCCTGCACCTTGTAGTGAGTGCACTTTAAAATGCTGCTATGAGACACTTTTTACTATTGAGCTTGCTATTACACCTTTCTCCATCTCTTTTTTTCTACTTAATTGCACGGTAGCGTAGAGCCTACAGTTTAGAGAAATAGTTTGCACTACTTTTTTCCATCAAATACCATTCTGCTGTCCTGTCTAGTCAGAGTGCTCTGTCCTGTGTATTTATTGTATATTTTGCACTCGTCTCACCCTGTTGTATATTTGCACTTTATGCAGTCCTCTGTACTGGACTACTGCATTGTTATGTGTTGCACCATAGTCCTGTAGAAACAGCATTTCATTCAAGTATATACAAGTTATATAGTGGAACAACAATAAAAACCCACTTGACTTGAGTTGACTTCTGGACTGGATTTTGGGACCCTTGATCTATGGTCTTCACTTACCGAGACTTTCAGTAGCATCATCTATGCTGTATAATTTGGCTGGATTCCCCCTCCTTGTTCTCTTCCCAAAATATTTGCGGTGTGCTGTTGCCAGTCACGAACATTCTTGTATTGTTTCATCTGTTTTCTGTTGTGGGATTGTGGACAGGCCGGGGCTGGAGGATGGGAGAGTGGTTTGTTTTGCTAAATGAATTCTCTGTGCTGATTAGTGTGCAGTAAAGGAACTTGTGGATTTTACTAACACTATTGCTAACACCATAACATGCCATCATGGCTCAGAAATACCCAAATGCCTTTTGGCACACCAAGATAATTGAGTGTACTATCTTGATTACATCCATTTGAATCATGGCAAAGTTCAGAAGTTGATCTTGGAGCAATTTTGCTGTTTTGTCCAGCCTGATCATTCAGGCTTGTGTTTAAATGCTGATGTACTATATAGGTACCAGTGCAGGCTCTTGAGAGAGAGAGAGTAATTGGTCACGAAACTGGATCTGATAACAGTGTGGTGTTTGGAAAATATGAGGGGAATGCCCTTGCCTTATAAGGAACAGACTGAACCTGGTGACAGACGATTGAAATAGCCTCTGGAATGCACAACTGCACCATTTTCTCTCTTTTTTAACCCTCCCACTCTGTCTCTGTCTCTCTCTTGCTCTCTTCTTTGCTCTTTTCTTTTGCTGTAACGTGAGGGCGTGTGGAGCCCAGAGGAATCTGGCAGTAATTCTGCACAGTGATAACGAGGCTTTGCCATAGGCCTGGCTGGGGCAGGATGTTCAGAACACTACCCTGTGTTTCCGGAGTCTAGATCCTTCAGGTCCAGGCTGAAAAACAGAACTACAACACAGAGGCTGATATAGGAACAGAGTTGCCTGTCGAAGATCTTAAACTGATCCAATTTAGGACTGGCACCACCCTAAACTATTCATTTTAGCCTGATAAGCAACATATCAAACTGTGTAAAATCAGTTTTGTGCTGTTGTGTTTGCATCATTTTTGCTTGAATCTCAGATATGTAATTATGCTATCTGCAGATGACAGTGTAATTAGAGAGTTTGTATCGGAACACTTCTCATTAAACTTCGGCAAAACACTTTCCTTAATTTCAGGTTATCACACAAAAGTGGAATTGCTTTGCTTTGAAAAGGGCATGCATATTTCTGAATATAATTCATTTCAATTCAGTTTTATTTGTATAGCACTTTAACAATGGCCATTGACACAAAGCAACTTTACAGAAATATATACATTTAGGATATAAATTTTAAACTTAAAAATTTATAAATTTATCCCTAATCAGCAAGCCAGAGGCAACAGTGGGAAGGAAAAACTCCCTGAGACGATATGAGGAAGAAACCTTGAGAGGAACTGGACTCAAAAGGGAACCCATCCTCATCTGGGTGACACCGGATAGTACAATTATAAATAAATCCCTTCTGTAACTGTGTACTACATGGTCAGCAAGTGCAATTGTATAAACAGGAAATTCATTATAGTTTTCACATGAAGTCTATTTTGTTGAAATGTCAACTGTTCACTGATGGAGACTTGAGTGCAAAACTGTTTGTGGTAATTGCTGTCCTAAAGCTATCATAGCAATTGTAGTCCTAAGCCATCATAGCAAAACTGTTCATATCAATCACAGTCTAAAGTCATCTTCATGGTTTTTTAGTGGTACCATCCACAGTAATCTCATTGATCTTTAGGCTATCCATGTGGGGCCATCTTCAGCAGCAGCGAGTGAAGTACTCTAAAGGCAAAGAAAAAATATGCGAGTGCATTTTTTAAATGGATCCCTGTAAAATAATACTGAGAAAATGTTTACTTTGGACAACCATGGTGAAAGTTCAATTAGCTTTCTGTTACAGTGATTAACACTGGAGGAGAAAGCTCGAGGGACACAGTCCATCAACTCTGACCACATCATGTTCTGCAATAGCCGTCCTTTGCTTTTAATCTGATACCCTGTACTTTGTAAGTGGAATGAGCCTGCATATCCACTTGTGTAACCCAGTGCATTTTTGCCTGCTTTGAGGTCTTTTAATGATCTGTTTAACTCTTAACTAGTTATGACGATCGAGGATTGGGAGGAAGGGAGGGCACCAATTTAGGACATTCCTCGAATGTGAGATCAGAGCTGTCTGAAACCTTAGCTCATGTTTATTTAGGTCCCTGCAAATATCCAATAATTGCCTTGCAGATGTTTTGATTGTAATATACTGTATAAATCTGAAATTCCTCTTTCACGCTCCCATTTCCAACCCTTCAGTGGAAAGCTTTTTTTTTTTTACTGG